TCTCTCTCTCTCTCTCTCTCTCTCTCTCTCTCTCTTTTTCTTTATCTATCTATCTATCTATCTGCGTATTTCTCAGTAAAAAGGAGAAGATTTATTGTTTACTGACTGAATAAACGATACTTATATGAAAATTAGAATATATTAAAAATTAATTTTTAATATAAATTAAATTAATTTAAATTAATTTTTTAATATATTAAAAATATATTAAAAATTAAACAGTTATAATTATTATTTAATAATATCATTCAATATATCCTATAATAATACAAGTGTGTAACGTTTAGAACAATTATTGATGGCCGAATTCGATCGTATATTTCATTAACTTCTTCGGACAATAAAATATTGTATAAAAGTCGCACCCAATAAATAAACCAAACGTTTTCAAAACACTGATATACTTTGTACGCAACGGATTTCCCGTTCAACAGTATATATGTGTATATATATATATATATATATATATATATATATATAATGCAACCACATAACTTCACGTTCTAAAATAATACAAAGTTTAAACGTGTCCGGAGTCGAGAGAATGGAACTTGTTACGTATTACTTTAATATGAAATTTAAGATAAGATCTAAAATGATGTTTAGAGGACTCGATTCTAGCGATTAATAGCTAATTCACGATCAGCACACTAATCGTTCGATGCATTATCGAGATCTAATCACTTTATGTTACTTAAAAACGCGTGCCGTTAATTAAAAGAAAATAAGAGCTTTTAGTAGATGGAATAAGAAATGATCTAATTATTAAATATTATATGGTATTTATTATATGGAATTAAATTCTATTATATAGTATTCAAAATTTTAATTTATGCTAAAACCTTATACGTTAACAATAACAAAAAATTACGTGAGAATGCCATAGACCTTGTAAATTTTGTACATTTCGGAGTATTACTTATACAATTGTTAAGCCATTTCTTCAATGATCAATAAATATTGGTTTTACATTCAATAGGTGTGCAAATGCTGTATATCTAGGTCCTAATGAATAATGAATATGGTCTATTATGATTATAAACGACCATAAATTAAACGGCAAAGCCAACGTCGTTTAGCACAGAAAATAAAATGTGTTCATATTGATATAAATCACCTCCTTGTACGGTTAGAGGCTGCGCCTTCACCGACCGAAAAACGCCATTTGCTGGGAGAATGTTTAGCTCCGCGCCACCAGGTAATCTCGCTAATTCGGAACCAGAACCACCGACTAAAGCCACTCCACCAACCATTTTGTGAGTCGTTTGAGCGGCATCGGCTGTTCTTATCCTTGTCTGAGCACCTGCACAATAAAAGCGTAGACAATTACATAACACAAGTCTTGATTTATGAAAGCGGCAGGTAATGATATTTCATCTAATTCTATACTTTCTGACATTCCTTTCGTAAGATAAATCAACGTTCGTCGCGAATTAATAACGTTAACATTTACCGGCGACAATTACCAATATCGTGACATTAACAAAGTCATATAATGTAAAAGCCAGTTGAATGAATTAAAAAACAGGAAGGCCCAAAATTCTCTCATTTTGCATATAATTTGAAATATCATTAATGGTCTAGCGGCCTCTATCCCACAGTTATGTGGAACACACAAAAATACTAATATGGAAAACAAATAAATTTACCATTACGCGAGAATTTACATAGAGTTCGTAATTATTTTAACTTTGATCGTAAAACAATATTGTAATGATACGGCTAAAGATATGTTGCGAGGAAGCTGTGGAAAACGTTAACGTTTCCATGAAATAACGCCAACCGTACCTAGACGGCGAAAGAAATCGAAATTCTAGGCAAATGTTTACGCGATATAAAATAAATAAGTAGGTTGGTTATTATTAATTAAAAAATTATCGCAAGACTGTTACGCTTCGTGATCATTGATAATCGACGAGCTTTCTTTCCAACATTCCATTCCAATATTTCTTATATACCCTCGCGCTTTTCGAGGGAAAGCCCAGGAATCACAAATGAAAATCCGGCCAACTTTCTAGAAATCAATAAGCGCACCAGTAAAGGACGGAGAGTCGTAGTAAGCATTTGAAAATTCGTCTACGCGCGTACGGACGAACCGTCGGATATTGATAATACACAAGTGCACTGACTGGTGACGTTAATGGTGGGAGTGTGGGTGGTTGCCAGGACGATGGGCCTGGCATCGTTGCCCGAGACGAATGTGACGGGCCTGACGTCGTTGCCAGGGGACTGAACAGCCAGAGCGAGGGGCCGGTCGCCGCTCGTCGAGTGGACGAACGTAACCCGGTTATCGCTGTTGGCCGCGGTCGAGTGCACGACCAAGGCGACGGGCCTCGGCTCACCGTTTCCCGTTCCCCCTACGCTACCGTTCGACTGCACGGCAATGAGCTGACGCCCGTCACCGGGTATGACTCGGAGTCCGGGTCCGAGATGCTGCAGCGTTGGCATTATCGTCGCCAGGCCTTGACTCGTATTCAGCATTTGAGCGCTTATCGGGAGATGCAGCTGAGCTGGAGCCTGCTGCTGATGCTGTGTATGTGGAATCTGCTGCTGCTGCTGCTGCTGCTGCTGTTGATGCTGCTGCTGGGACTGCTGGGGCTGTTGGATTATCGTTTGCGTCACTTTCTCCTGCAAAAGCAACGGATTATGCGCTATTAGAATTATTCGTCCTGTTCCGTCGTGATATTCTGCCTCTTATCCGATAATTAACGATAAAAAATGTCGCTATACTTTTTTTTTATTTTTATTTTTTTCTCTTATTTTATTTTATTTATTTATTTTTTTTTTTTATCATTTTTAGAGAAGAATAGGACGAGAGGGGAACGAGGGACGCTTATTTTAAAATACAGGAGAGGCGTCCGAAGGTAAAGAGGAAGACCGTTGTTCTAAAGTGTCTCTATCCGACTCACTGCGTGCGCAGAGAGATGCAGCAGTCGGCAATGATATTAGCGACGGTCGGTAAAAGGGAGGCTCGATAATGAATTGCACGTACCTGAGCGGGCGTGGGAATGCTGGGTGTGGAGGCACCTGGACTGGAACTCGTCGGCGGGCTCTCCCTCGAGCTCTGGGCGAGGTTGAGGCCTTGGGTTTGACAGACGACCGCGGCGGTAGCCACTTGGTTGTGGGCGCTCACGGTGCCGTTGCTCGTCTGAAGGGTTTGAGGCGAGTTGGCCGTCGCCGCGCTGCTCAGACTACTCGTACTGCTGTACCTGGTGCCGCCCCGCGCAAGTCCGCCACCTCCACCGCCTCCATTCGTTGGATCTACCTCCATGCTCTCCGAGGCTGAAGCAAATGTACAAGATTTACCATTGACATTAAATTTTCTCTCTCTCTCTCTCTCTCTCTCTCTCTCTCTCTCTCTCTCTCTCTATATATATATATATATATATATATATATATATATATATATCTTATCGCAATAACCTCTGGCACGCGCACCGAGAGGACCTACGTCAGCAGAAAGTCGAAGTTTTGAGGTGATGCCGGTGTAAAGCAAGGCGTGTCAGTGATTTCGAGATAATCGTAAATGTCGCTCTTTACGTATGATTAAATAAACTACGTCTTAAAATGACTTTTTTTTTAAATATCAAAGAGAGAATTTGCAGTCGAGTATAAATGATCTTTTAGCAAAGACTTTAGCTAGCGGTAATATTTGGCGTCTTTTATAACTGTAGAAAAAGAAATATATATATATATATATATATATATATATATATATATATATATATATATAATATTAATAATATTACTGAACTCATGCGCTTATATTTATTTTGTTCTTTTTACAGTTTCTATTCAATTTATTTACAAATACATTTACCAATACAATTTTTTTTAACAAATAAAAGATAATTCGCTTAATAGTAAGCGATTTTTGTTGTTTAAGCGTATATACAACTTGAATTAATATAAATGTTTAAAACAATGTTTTTTTACAAAAGTTGTTTGTTCATGATACTGAAACGACCAATCACGGGATTCATCATTGATCATAAGAATGAAAAGTCCCTCTATAATTAATGATTAATAATAAATAATGCCTTTAAAATAAATAATTTTTACCCGATTGTACTATATATAATTAAAATATGAGAAAAGAAGATTTTTTTGGGGGTCCGTACGTGGTGTGGGGAAGCCGTGTTACAATCATCATAGACATTAAATTTATGTTCATAGTGCATTTCGGATCAATTATTAAAAGACATTAAGCATTCGGGATCTGATTTAATTTAAAATCTAGATATTGAAAATCTACATGGAGACGTAATTTTAAAATCGAGGGCGCAATAAATTTGCAACAACATCCGAGTGCTGAATCAGGCGTCGCATATCGTTATAAAGTGACTTTTAGGCCTGATTAAATGAAATCACCGCTGAAGAAGATTGGATGGATCGCTTACCATTTTTCGTAACGTTAGGCTCTATCGTGGAATTGTGTTCCGGAAGCAGAGTACTAAAGTCGATATGATCCCAAGTTGCGGCGAGTTCCTTTTTCAAAGACACTAATCTCTGTTGCGCGGTTATTTTCTCTCTCGCGAGTCTTTCCATCTCGTGTTCGTAATCTCGCTCCTTTCTCCTCAAGGCCTGAAATAAATCATCATTTACAATTCAATTTTGTCGCTCATCGTTCTTAATTGCTTATGCCATACAATAGAGGGCATTGATGTAATTTAAAGGAGAAAAATGGGATAAAAAGCGAGCGCGCAAGCAACACTTTTCGTTGGATCGTCGAATCGAAATGATATCAAATATTATGCCAATATAACTTATGACTGTAATAATAATAATGGTTCGTTATAAATTTAACAATTAAATAATTTTAATTGTTAATAAATTTAATATTTTATATAAATTGTCTATTGGCCCGATAAAATACGTTTTTATCTAAGAGTTAGTTTATGATTTTTCACTACAATTTCAATGCAATTTAACAATTCTCATGGTCGTAGAAATCCTAATTAATATCCTTACTTCCTCGTGTACGTGCCCGCTCGAGTAACATCATTTTTTTATTTTAACCTTATATAGAAATTCATCAAATGCCGTAAAAAATCAGTCTGAAAAATCATACCTCGAGTTCTTTTATTACTATCCATTGATATCGCTTGGCTCGCTCAATGACAATACTCAAGCGATGTGAAAAAGAGAAAGAAGAATATGTACGGAATACCGTAAGTTAAAGCGATAAAATGGCAGAGATAACAAATAAAAAAAGAAAAAGTAAAGAAAAAAAGAGAGACCTGTCGCGCATATTCAAAACGATAGCGTAATTACAAATAGCCGAAATCGTTCTGCATATGGGCATATCATACATATATATATATATATATATTGATCTTGCACCTGTTCATTACAAAGTCGCAATTACATATACACGACCTGACCTTGGCATTAGGTGCTGGAAATAATGGGAATAAAAATTCCCTGTTGAGAATGAACGGGAGAGGAGAGTAGTATTATAGTGTAAGTTTTGCTGTAGTGTATTGTGGTGTGTTTTGTGTTGTTTATATATATGTGGTATCATGATGATATTTTATCATATGTAGGAAGAAGAAGGAAAATTAAGTAGTGGTAGTATAGGTAGTAGTGTGTGGCGGTGGTGGGCGAATATGGTTTTGTGTGCGGTGTGTGTGCGTGCGTGCGTGTGTGTGCGTGTGTGTATGATGGCGATGGTGATGTGTAGTTATAAAAATGTACGGACGACGGAGAAAGAGGAGGGAATCGAACCGGCTGTCTTCGTAATACGAGGCTCGAGACTAAGCCACTGAACTACAGCTAAGTTCTTGAGTCACATGGTCAATCACTGCCAATCTCACGAATTTTCTCAACAAAAATTGTATTGGCCGGGGCAATAATTAATGCCTTTTAGTTATGACTTTACGTAAATACATAAACAGTAAGTAATCGGGACATTTTCTCTAAGTGACTCATGCGATGATAAATAAAAAAAAAAAATATTATCGTCACAAACACGTTATACCGAGCAAATATCTGTATATTTAATTGTAGATAAGTTGCATGAAAATTTATGCGCTCGTTATGTGCGACGATTATTTAAATCCCAACGCTTTCGCACATTTATACGTCATTATATGAGTAACGCCATGAACTAGGGGCATTAACAAAATATTTGAACTTTGAGATGATCGATAATGCATTATAACGAATGCCCTTATAATTAATAATCAATAAGACTTTATAATAACATCAGAAATTATTTAGAATGATTTCAGGCATTTTCAACGCTTAATTAGTCATTTATTTTATTCCAGCCTTCATCCACTATTAACGGTAAGTGGGACGCGTAAATTACTAGGCATCGTTGAAATTCGGCCATTCATCATATATTTGATGTTTAATTCGCGGAATTACTTTATGTCGTTTCATTTTATTGTAAATAAAAATGAAGAAGAAGAAGAAGAAGAAGAAGAAGAAGAAGAAGTAGAGAAAAAAAAATTAAAGTCCCTGCGCTATATATGTATGTACCTTATTTGTTTTCTGGCTGATCTTTTTAAGCGATGTGTGTTGTTTGTAAGCGCGCGGCAACGCAAAGACGAAGATATATATAGTCTAATCTTTGATTTCAACGTTGTCATAAAAATTAATTTGCCGAACAGAATGGCGAGCTTTATAACACAATGTAATCATTCTTCCAATTTTAAAAGTTGGAAGGATTTACTACAAGTGCTTATAACTTTGGGAATGGTCGTTGCGAATTTCGCTGGAATTCTCGGTTTATTTGATTTAACTTACATCTCACAATTACGAGCTAGTTACGTTAATACAACTTTCAGGTTATTCCAGGTTCGCCCTAATTGCTTCAATTTAAATTTCACTACGAAATTGTGCAAATTGTGAAACTCAAACTCTGATCAAACATACCATAAAAATACACATAAAAATACGAGTAAAAAAGCGATTACATTTCATCTGCATCCTACTAAAATTCAAGTTTCACACTATGGCTTTGAGTATAAATTTATTTATTTTCAATAATCTTATTATAGTGCTGTAATGCCTTCTAAAAAAAGGATAACTTTATGTAATTTCAAAGAAAAATATATATATATATATGTATGTATGCATGCATATGTATTATCGATTTCGATATTTCTTTAATTTAATAAAGTCGACGTATATGATGTGATTTTAAACAAAATGAACGTGATATGGCTTGGCTCGTTACCAACCCATACCAATTTTTTTTTCAATTTCATCGATAACTTCCATACACAATTCCATCATTATTGGCATTGGATCACGCAGAGCACGTTAATATGACAATTCAATTGCCTTTCTCCCTCTAATATACGCCATTATCTATCTTTAGCTTACCATTATCCTACAAACGCAATAATTACTACAACCTCAACTTTTCCCCTTACGTCCGACTTACATTTACACACACGTATTTATAACAATAGTTAAAACAACAACGATAATGATCTCGGGACGCAATAAGATAGAAAAACAACAAAAACGTGCTGTGCTCGTTTTTATTCCTTCGCAATGGCAATTTGCAATTAACCGGGGGAAAAAGAATGGACGTCGGTTTAATTCCAAGTTGGGCGTGTGGGCACGCGGCTTTCGAATAGTTTTACGACGCGCGCTCGCTGCATTCAATTTTCAAGCATAATCGTCGCGATAAATTATGCATGCGCGCGCGAGCCGCAACTATCGACAAGACGATTTATTATCACGAGGTATCAAGACGCGAGCGCAACATACAGAGGATCCGCGCCACGCCGTCACCGCTACCGTCACTCTGCTCGTGTGCGCGTGCGCGCACGCGGCCCAGCTAGCGAATCGCCCCACCTTTTTACCGACCTAACAATGCGTTATTTTCGAAAGTGCGAAACGCGCGAGGAGCTCGCAAAAGTTAACACGTGTTGCCAGTCACTCCAGGCGGCATTGTTACGTCCAGCAACAAGTGCACTAGTACCGCACAGCCACTTGCGCGAAAGGATGTCAATCTCTCTCTTGCGTATCCAAGACAATTGAAGGCACTTCTTTTTCTCTTTTAACTTTACAAAAGAAGCCCCTCCACCGCTGCCGCCACCGTAGCTCCCATTATCTCCTATTCATTGGATCAATGCTTATTACGGTCTTGATCGCGATCGATCGCAACGAAACACAATTGAAAATCACGTCAAAGCTCATTTGACATTTCACGAAATTATTGCTTAAACGCCTCGGCTAGTCCCACTCCAATTGCCCTCAAATGATGCCGCTACCCAGTCGGTTTTATGTAAACTACAATCTCATATTACAAGGCTTCCGAAAATTTTTCAGGATTTCATCAACTGCAATCCAATCGATAATAGGATATATGCGTTGTGCCCCGCCCCACTCCCCAAACAATCATACTTTTATCCGCGGCTGGGTAGAAGTGGGAGGGGGGGGGGTTATGGAATGGTGTGGTGGCGGTATGGCGGTGGTTGGAAGATTAGGGGGAGGGGGGGGAGGAGGCATTAATTTGGCGAAATCAGTGGGAGACACGTACAGTGCGAATTAACGAGGGACGGTCTCAAGCGACCAGACTCGAATGAACATTGTTGCCCGAAGAAAATGGTGAGTTGTCGAGTCGACGGATAGCGGAGAGGTCGAAGCGATCGCGCGTGGAAATAAGGATTAGGTAGCGGTATAACGTCGCGGTAAATGCCTGCGCCCCGTGCCAATTGGCATGCTCTTCCCCTCGCGCGCACGACTATTCGCAATTATCGCTGGCAATTGTGCTCCCACCTCCCCGAAACCCCGGCCCCGCGTCTAACAGGCCCTCCTGCCGCGCCTTTCAAGCATTCGCGAGCTCGACGGACGCGCATACCGAGTGTGGCCTCTCCCCACCGCCACGCCGCACCCGTACTTTAGTCGCTCTTCGTTAAATATCGTCGTCGCGATATCGTCTTCTCGTCGTCTTCATCGGGCGACGCACTCCTTCGCACTTATCTCGTATCAGACTATTGGGGAGCGAAATTAACCGCGAGAACACGATATGTGCTCCTACCAATAGACGACACCGTCACCCTCGCCACCATCAATGGCACTCTCGCCTTGATGGCCTTGAAAGTCGCCATCGTCTCGCGCTTCCTGTCTAATCTCTAATCTAGACCCTAGAGCCGGCGACGTCCCTTGAAGCGAGACCCTTCGCGGACATCGGCTTTACTTCCGCTCGTAGCGGATCGCTACGACACTCGTCATCACGCCCTTTGCCAAACGATGCGCAGGCAGCTTTCGAGTCGCGGTAGACCGACGCCTGCGCGCTACCCCCTGTGGCTCGGGTGTCGGTGAAGCACGACGTCCCAGCTTCTCGGCTACGTTGGATTCCTCCTTAAAGAAGTCAGCCGCTGCTTGGACGCGTGCGCGCGATCGTAGCGTCCCACGAACCTCGCGACAAGGCCTTTAAACTTCCTCGTCCTTCGCGCCCGAGAGAGTCGACCCTCGAGAATGGGGCTGGGAAGGGGTAATCCGTCGTTACTTTAGAGACAAGTGCGCCCATCATCGTTTAACAAGACCTCTTTCCTCGGTTTTTCCCAGCGCAGAGCGCGTTAAGAGGTTAGCCGCTGTCGATTGCGCCGCTACTTTGG